TTTTTTTTTTTTTTTTTTTAATTTTCCTTTTGTTGCACTTGGCAAGGAATGCCAAACCTTAGCGGAGTGACTTGAGGAGGGGGAGATTGCTGAACAGCAATCATCAGTAGCATAGCGAGGCTGTTGCCAGAGACTTCTACATCTGAAGAACAGCCTTTCTGGCGTTGCCAGCATGACCCTCTTTTCTTGGGTGAACCCTGACTGCTCAGCCTGCCCAGACGACCTCTCTGCTCTCGGGAAAGGCCGTTACAGCTCTGCTTCTTCTGCTTGCCATTTTAGCTGTCATTGATGTGGAGAAAGCTCTTGGAAGAAGAGGTTAGCTAGCCTGCTTGCTGCCAGAAAGCAGAGCTCTGTAGGGCTTTACGAATATAAATACTTCAAAGCTATCGGCAACAGATCTGCTTTAAAGCTCGTTAATGATATTGTCTGAATTGCCCTGTTTGGTTTAATTGACCTTGCTGCAAAAGCGCGTGACTCAAGAACGAGCCTGTAGCAGCTTCAAAGGTGGTTACAGCTTTCCTCTGTAATGTAGGGTTAGACTTTCCAACTAGAGAATGGAGCTTCATGGGAAGGACCCAACCTGCTGCCCGAAGGGGCACCTCTGCAGACCCATTGGTGCTGAGCCAAACCAGCAGATTTTCAACTTCTATCAGTCCTTGTTCCCCTAAACTTCTGCTTGCTGCCTCAGTTGTAGCTCTCTGGCCATCGCTGGCACTCTCCTCGCCCCCTGCTCCCAGGAGACGATAGGAAGTGATAGATCCACCTATATGTAAGGTTCTTGGTATTGCAAAATTTGTCAAGTCTTTGCTGTTGAAGCAAATGGCAAGTTAGAAAGTGGGACAGTTAAATCCACTGCAGCTCAGATTGCACCCTTTCCGTGAATAACTTACTAATTGCTTTTTGTTTATTAACAGAGATTGAGATAAATATGCTGGATGAGCAGCTGATCAAGTTTCTGGCCTTGCAGAGAATACATCAGCTCTTTCCTTCCAAAGCTCAGTCTCTAGCGAGCAGTGTCAGTTCCCATCAGCAATCTCCTGTGGGAAACCACATCGAAGGTAAGAGCAGCCCTAGAATAGTTGGTTTATGTTGAGCCATAGCTTTTTGGCACTCCCTTGCCTATTCATTGAAGGAGATCTCCCTCTTCTTCTGTTATCTCTCTGATGCTGCCTTTCACATTTCTCTCCTCTCGTCCCCATGCTCTGGATATCCACTGGCCAGAAACTCCTTCAGGTCCCTCTACTTAATTATTTACAAATTATGGCAATGGAAATACCTTCAGTAACTTCTGATTTTTCTGCTGGAAATCTTTAGTGAAGCTGTGTTTTAGTCATCTTAGAATTAGCAAGAGATGGGAGGGTTCAGCTGCTTTTGTTTTTTCCCCTCACCTTTGAGATGGGTAAGAGAAATACCTGAATTCCTGCTCTCTCTTTCTGGAGAAGTTGCTTGTGAGACAAGCACCAAACAGGAGGAACTGGGGCACAGAATAGATGTGTGACTTTGTCACTGCCTGTTCAGAATGATGTCACTGTCAAGCTGCAATGCTAAATGCGACTAATGCAAACAATGGAAAACGACTTGCCCTTCTGTTGGAAATCTCCAGATTCCCAAGTTCAGCGTTGGCTTTGTGTATGGTCACTGGTCTCGGCATGCTAACACCTAAATGTGCAGGGCGAGCATGGCTTCATGTTCCTCTGCACGCAGCCAGTCCATTCAATCTGCTTTCAAGCCCTAACTGGACAGCCTGGTGATGGGAGCAGTTGTCTGCTCCCCCTCTGCTAGGCCTGGGGGTAAAATATTCAAGATCTTTGGAAGTCTGCTAGCAGTCGGTAACCTTCTTCTGAAACTGTGCTTGCCTGCTCGCTTGCTGCTGCAGCATCCCAGCATTCCCTGAATGCTTTGTCAATCTTCTTTGGAGCACTGCTGTAGGACACGGCACCAGGCTGTGAGATGAGCCGCTTTCCTGCGCGGCTCCGAACAGGCGAGTTCTGGAAATCTTCAGCAGCCTGCCTTTCCGAAGGCAGATCGATGCGGTCTTAACCCATCACCCTTTTTGGGCAGGAGTGATGCATCTAGCTGCCTGTTTAGCCTTGCTGATGAAATATTAGATCCAAAGCCTTTAGCAAGCCCCGTTGAGGCAGTAGAGCCAGACCGCTGAAAGGGCTTGTGCAGGGCGGCTGGGGAGGGGTGGGGACCTGCACGTCAGTGTGGCCGCTGCTCCTGACGTAGGTGGGCTCTGCAAGCAATCTCTCGTAATCCTCGTGTCCTGGTCTCTGCTTTCACACTCTTGGTATAAAACTGTCGTGCAGATGTGGTATCAGGAGAGGCCTAAACTCTGTATAAGCAGCTTATCTTCCAAAGACAGCTGCGGAAATCCTGGCTAGGCCTGTGTGGTCCAGGGTTTGAGATCTGTTCCACAGGAGATGATTTTTCTGTCCAGTCAATGTGGGCATGTGAGAACGTGTGATTTGGACTTGGCTGCCAGGGAGCTGCTCTGGAGGCTCAGCCCTGGAGCGGCTGTTGTCCAGAGTGCCGTAGGGGCCGACCTGAGGAGTCCACTCGTAAATCATCCTGTCCTGGGCGTAAATCATCCTGTCCTGGGCGCTGGGTTGGTCCCCGGATAAGCCCTGTTTAACCCCTGTGTGTTTCCTGCAAGAAGTGAAACCACATCTGTTAAGTTGGTGACGTTCACCAGCACCATTTATTTTTTTTTTTTTTTAAGTGGCACTTTGACAGCAAGACTCAGCTCTTTGATTACCCAAAGTGGGAGAGATTAAGAAAGAAGCTGGTGGTAGGAGGCTTCTGTTTTCCTCAGTGTGGCTCCACGGTGCACACTCGGTTTTAACGTTCCCCTAGTTGCACGGCTTGTGTGGGCTACTGCAGAGAGCAATTTTCTCTGATGACTGGCAAAAAGATGTTCCATGCACAATCATTCCTAGAGGCTTGGGAACTGGAGTTGAGGCCAAAGCTGACTGCATCCTCCTTACGATCTGTGCTTTCTGGAGAGCCTAGCGCTGGGGACGCTGGGGTCAAGCAGCCTTCGTAGTTGATAACATTGTTCAAGTTAATTTCTTTTTATCTTGCAGCGCAAAGAAAGGAAGTGCAAGCCCGGGCGGTGTTCTATCCTCTGATGGGCTTGGGGGGGGCAGTCAATATGTGCTATCGAACCCTCTACATTGGGACAGGTGAGTAGCTTTTCCGTGCCCTGACCTCTCCGAATCAGGGTGGTTCTCCCTGACCCTCCCCAATAGGTGTTTGCCAAGTGGGTGTCGAAGAAAAACAGACCCATTGTGTACTGGGCTGCTTTGCTAACAAGAAACGTGGAAATTCCCCGTCCACTTGAGTCTTTGTGGGGTTGTACTTTTGTAACCTGGCTGGTATCGAGATCAGCAGAGTGGCTGTCCTGGAGATGTAATGCCTGACTGATGGAGAGAAGAGTCACGGCTTGCTTTCAGGGTTCATTTCTCTCTGCTTAGAGTCTTCTGGCGCTCGGGATAGACCCAGTCACTGTGAAATGCTCTTCAACCTTCATGGAGCTGCCGGCCTTCCCTCCCCCCACTGAAACTTTGTTCGGTGGCTTATCGAAGCATTATTCATGCAGTCCTGGGAGCGAGGACAAAGGCAGTTGCTCCCCTGTTGTTTTGCTAATTGAAGTTTAATTCTGTCTGTTGTTCTCTGCTGCCTGACAGTTTTTTTTTTTCTGAAATGAACTCAGCCTGTTTTATCCTCCCCGTTGACAGGAGCTGATATGGATGTGTGCCTTACAAGCTATGGTCACTGTAACTATGTGTCTGGCAAACATGCCTGCATATTCTACGATGAGGTGAGTGCCTCAGTGGGGGCGTTTTGGAGTGGGGTGGGGTTTTTTTTTTTTTAATTTTTATTATTTGGCATGCATGGCAGTGGAAGCTGGAGATGCAGGCAGCAGGTTGTCTTTGTGTGGTGCTCCTTTGTGGACTACAAAGTAAGAGCCAGGGCTGTGAATGGTTTCACTCCAGTGAAGGCTGCGTCAGCGTTTTCTGTCAAACCCTTTTCTGAAGCACAGAGCTCTGCCAGCATGATTTCTCTGAGCTAACTGCTTGTGGACAAAGACTGAC